AAAAAACTTGAATCAGCAAAAAAAAATTATATTTAAGATCAAGATTTGAATGCTTGTCAAAAAGTCTTACGAAGTATATCTCATCAATATATAGATGTTTTAAAAGATGCCAAAGATAGTAGTGACGAAGAGTAAAATGTTTTTTTGTTCATGTAGCAATGGTATGAGTAAATATATTTATGTAGTGATCGCATCATTTTCGTTGATTAGTTCTTAATTGAAAAATAGACGCTTTTTGGAAACACAATGAAAATGAAACAATACAATTTCAATCATTCCAAAAAGCAGTCATTTTTCACTAATTGGCTTAATTTTTGCCCGTAATTAATACAGCACCAGCAAAATGACACAACAACAACAATGGATTTATATCTCTCGCATCAATCGAACATAACAGATATCATTTTTTTTTTGTAATTTGCATGTCTAATTCATTAAGAAAAATCATTATGAAATTTGTTCAATTAGGTACGTAGTGTCTACTATAGGTATTACTGTATAACAAGATTTTAGATTCGCATCTGGAACATTCAAATATATTGATATTTAAAGGCAAGAAATGAAAACTTCTAAATTCTAATAAGCATCTTATTTTCTATTTCTCATCTTGAAGATAAATATCTTTCAGACTCATTATATATTAAACATATCTTAACTGATCATCTTTCAGAAAAATATTTTCTAATTATCAACCGTATTAATTCATGAATATAATTTAAATCTAAAGATAATTTCAAATCTGTTAATAAAAATTCGTTGATAATATCTTATATAATCAAATGATATTATTATAACTATAATATAGTCACGAATCTGGATTTTGTTATTGATAAATATATTTTATGGCATACCTTTTTCAACTTCTAATATCATAGTATGAATTGAAATACGGTAAGAAATGAGCCAAGAAAGTATTGAAAAGTATGAAGAGGTAGGTCTGTCAAATACAAGATGCAAACGTTGTAATGTATTGTTATGAAATGCTAAAGATCTTAATAATGGTTTAATCAGTTCATATGAATCATTTCCTGCATTCAATATAACAAGTTGTTTTATTGATGGTAACATCGTGTTTATGAATAGTGGATTATCATTTAAATTTTTTTCCCAATAGTTAAGTAACATTAAGCAAGCTCCTAATCCGCCACGAATTACAAGAGTATCTATCAAAGCTGTAAAACGTTTTGTAGTATCATTATTAATATTGTTGAGAAATTGGTACAATTGATCATAATGCATTGAACTAACATCTAATGAATGACGTATGGTCGTAAGAAGATATTCGATCCTAGTATTTTTTACATAAAGAAAGGCTTGACACAAATCAAATGAAGATAAATAGCGAAATATAATGAGTAAAATTTCATTGGGTAATGATTCGAATGTGCTTTTGTTCATTCTTTTATTATTGAACTGACCTGTATAGATGCATTTTCTTTGAATATATATAGTTCATGTATGTGTATAGACGGACATTGTTATGCGTTTACGTCTGATGAGTATTGTTCATTTTTTTTTATTGGATGAACAATATTTAGAAAAAAAAAATGAAATAGTTCAATCAAAACAAAATTTGACGATTTTTTTAAGATTATGAAAAATCTTGTTTATAGATATTAAATATTATTTTCATTTTCATATCTCTACATTTGTAATTGATTGAAAAAAAATCTCTTTATTGTACTTTCGTTATTTGAATGATCAATAAATGAATATTATTTTTTGATATATTTCTGAATACGTTTATATCTCATTCGTCTTTATAATCATTGTATGTTCCTTTTGTGTATAAGAAGACTAACGGCAAAATGATCACTTGTTTCAAGTTCTGTCTACATGAGAAATTTTGACTGTATTTTTAAACACAAAAATGATTAATAAAAAAAAAAAAGCTATCCTAAAGTTTTGATATTAGACTGAGTGAAAAAGATGTTGGATAAAATAATTGATTTTGTATCTATCTAATATCCATTTTAATGAACTGTGCACTCTGTTATAAGTTGAATAATTTTGGCTTGGAAACAGCTCGAGATCTACGGTTTTCACAAGAGGGAAACAATCTACTCTCTGTACTTCCTGTACTCCGGGAGTACAGGGAGCACACTGAATAGGCATGAAATGCGCTATAATTTTTGATCTTTAACCTTTAACTCTTGACCTTTGGCTCAGTAACAGACATTGTTGTACTCCCTGGACTTTCACGGTACTCCCAGAGTACGGAAGTACGTTGTTCTCTCTTTGGGTTTTCAGCTTTAGAAAACGGACCAG